TCCAACATACATCGCTGATATCAGCAAAGCATGCTGGCAACAGCTTATCCACGCACTTCTATCAAGTGCACGTCACTTCCGGTGACACGCCTACCCCAACTTTCGGATATCGAGTATGTATGTCTGTCCGTCCGCAAAATGAAGTGAGTGAGAAGGAAGCTCATGGAATAAACAACCGCTAACAAATCGGGTAGCTTACAGGATTTGAGATATCAATTTTGTAGCAGGATAGTGATAACACTCCTAGGGCTATATAAACACCTGCTTAGCACACTTCCGTTCATTCCACATGGTGCTGCAGTGGCAGCTGGAGGGCAGTGGAGAGAGGAAGGGAGGATGAGGAAGGGAAGCGAAAAATCTACCGTCACATCATGATTATGGCCTTCTACTATATGAAACTCCTTTTTGTTGCATACGCGTCACCTCCACGAGGTGTTGGTGTCACAGGTGGGAAGGAACCACAGCGGAAGACGTAAAGCTTACGCAGGAAAGGAAGGTCCCGGCGGTTGACGGGGGGATAATCTGGTCTCTTATACACCACAGTTTCGGGGTTTATTCGCCCGCCCTTTAGACAGCTGCACTACGCTACTGTAGAGTTCTAGGCAAGGTGACATGGGTGGGGCTTGAGCAATATCAACCGTACGGTGCGCAGTTCTCAGTGTTGGGGTTTTTGAAGAAGGTCGTACTTTGGATTGGTGAAAGTCAAAAGGTGGAAAAGTGGTATGTTTGGAAGTTGAAGGGGTCATGGTGGGTAGCAGAGGATTCATTTTTATTGTGCTTGCGCTCCTTCTTCTCGAGTTTTTTGTATTCATTCTATAGATAATACATTAGCATAACTATAAACCACATGGCAGCCAGAGTGGTCAAATATCCCTTGATTTAGCAAAGATTTTCTGAACGCACAAAACTTTCATTTCAAATTTCCTAGTATTCCTTTCACTGTCGTGAACATTCTATAAAAGATTGTATAAGCGAAGCAGTTGATATGGCACTATTGCACTATTACAACCCCAGTAGGGGTGAGATGGGTCAAAAAATAATTTTCGCTGAAACTTCGGCTATGGGGGTTATCGAGGGTCCTGATCACGAATATGATATTCATTTTTGGCGCTGGCGGCGCCATTTGGCGCCAGGTGGCGCCACGACTGATTCCCACTAAATTCGCTGTAAACTTCTGTATAGGGGTTATTTGGGGTCCTGATTACGATATGACATTCGTTTTTGTTGTTAGCGCTATTCGGCGCCTATTTCCTGCTCGTCTGCGCCCTCGCACTAATTAGATCGCAATCAGGACTAAGCCTTTGAATAGTGGAGGGCTCCAAAGTGAGTAGGCCACTCCCCTGTGGTCTAACACACTCCAACTTTTGCCACACGGTGCGTGGTTTACCCACTCCGGAGTTTCACGCTGCGGCACTCACTT